CGGCTAAAGACTCTAGAAATGTACTCTTTTGTTAAAAAAATAAAATCCAATTAGATTAAATCAAGCCGATCGATCTTCTGCATATTAATAATATAAAGTTTTGTTATTATTAAATAGTAAAAACCAAATACCTTTCCACTTCCATTTGATCCAATAAGACCATATCTAAATAAAAATTTAAAAACGCATCATTAATTGATTAATGAATATTATTTAAAGATTCAAAAAAAAAATCATTCGTGCAATTAACTACCTTCTACCAAAATTTAGTTCGATCGTGGCATTTTCAATTAATACACGTCCATAAAATGACAATGTATATTGTTCGATTTTTACATCTCTTGACATCGGTTGTGAGGTCAAAACACCAGTTGCAGTTCTTTCAGTTGCATTCTTCATTGATTCCAAAGACAAACCGTTTACTGCTGCCGCAATCGAATCTGGTGTATCTTGATCAGTTTGATTTTTAATCGAAGATGTACTATTGCTCTTATTTTCAGAAGCTGATGCATTGTTTACAGATGTTGTTGCATTTTTGGCTGCTTTTTTTGCCATACGTTTTTGTTTAGAGGCTGATGACATTTTTTTCAAAAAAATTTTTTAAATTTTAATATATTTTCAGAAAAAAAAAATCTCGTATTTTTGACAGGCTGACAAATAAATACTGATATTAGTGGGTAGTATAAAAATGGATATCACATGTTAATTTTCACCCATTAAAAAAATTTTCGGTTTCAAAATAAAAAGATTTTAAAATAAAAGTTAGAAATTCCTATGTATATCTCAATTATATTATTTTACTTAATAAAGTATAGACATGTTATCGTGACAAAATCGTACATGAGTCAATGAATTTATTTATGGATAAAATAAGCAATTTTTATATTAAATAAATAATAAATAATTTAATTTTTTTTATATTCTTTGTTGAATTCCCTGTAAAAAATTGATGATAATAAACGGTTTATTATACATTACTATGGTATTATTTAAATGATACATTTTAACTAAACAATATTCACCTTCCAATAACCAATCTTCTAATTTCACTAGTTCCTGCTCCAATTTCATACAATTTAGCATCTCTAAGAATACGACCAGTATCATAATCATTTATATATCCATTCGCACCAAGACATTGTATAGCGTCCAATGCGACTTCTGTGGCTCGTTCAGCTGCATTCAATATGACAGCAGCACAATCCTTTTATTATTATTATTCATAAGAAGAAGATTAATAAATTAAGTAGGTCAAAAGCATATACACCAACTGTATTAATTAATAAATTACCCTATTAGAAATATGACCACTGTCACATGCCCTGGCCACTGAATATACATATGATCTAGAAGCATTGAGTTTAGTATACATGTCAGCTAATTTTGCTTGGATCAATTGGAAATGTCCTATTGGCTCTCCAAATTGTTTACGTGTATGTACATATGGAACAACAATATCTAGAGCAGCTTGCATCAAACTGACAGAATGTTGTTATTGAAGGAATATATTTATTTATTTATTAGTAAATGAATTGAAAAATAATAACATCCAAAAGAAACTTATTTATTACGGAGGTGGTTATTCAACTTTTATCAAAACTAAAGCCGAATTAGAAACAAATCAAATGAAGGCATATAATAAACAACAAGATGAAATTGCTCACATTAAAAAATTTATCGCCTCAGCTGGTACATATGCTAATCTGGTAAGTTATTATGTTAAACAAAAATGGTTTATTTATAATTACGATCAAATAAGTTCCATTAGAATCAAAAAATTTAATTTACTCTTCATTTACATTATTATTTAGGTCAGACAAGCTAAAAGTAAGCAAAAAATCATAGATAAAATGGAAGCTGCAGGATTGATTGAAAAGGTTTGGTTATATGAAATTATTTTATATCATGTCATGTTATCTACCATCAATCAGAATTTAAAAAAATAATCAATCATAATATATATACATATATAGGTGAATCCCCCTATAACTTTTAAATTTAAATTTGGTAATCCTGCTAAACTTCCTCCGCCCGTTTTGCAATTTGACCAAGTTTGTTTCTCTTACTCTGGGAAAACTTCAAGTAAAGATCTTTTGTATGAGGATCTTGATCTTGCTGTTGATATGGATTCTCGTGTAGCATTGGTTGGACCAAATGGAGCAGGTTTGTCGAAAATAAATAAATAAATATATATATTGTGTCATTTGATTTATTTAATAATCGTGATAATAATTAAATAATTTTTTCAGGTAAAAGTACATTGCTCAAATTAATGATGAATGAACTTCAACCAGTAAACGGAAGAATTTCACGTCATACAAATTTGAAATTAGCAAAATATAGTCAACATAGGTAAGAAATATATATATCTCTTTACTTATCATAGTTGATTTAATTTAACAAATCACTCACTTTTTCTATAAATTTAAATTTAATAGTGCCGATCAACTTGAAATGGACATTAGTCCAATAGAATATATGAGAAAAAAATTCTCTCAGATGGAAGGTGATATAGATGTAGGTTTGAGATTATAAATAAATGGGGGTTTTTTTTAATAACAAAAATTAAATTAATAATAATGATGTACCTTTTTAAATAGTTTTGGAGAAATCAAATTGGAAAATTTGGGCTTACAGGTTCTCACCAAACATCAAACATTAAAACATTAAGTGACGGATTAAAATCTCGTCTTGTTTTTGCAGAATTAGTATTGTCCAATCCAGATATAGTACTTATGGACGAACCGACGAATCATTTGGTAAGTTTCTAATAATAATTTTTCTAACACCAATAATAATTATTATTAAAAAGCATTATCTATTTGTTATATATTAGGATATGGAAAGCATTGATTCACTTGCAAAAGCAATTAAAGACTTTAGTGGAGGCGTAGTTTTAGTGTCTCACGATTTTCGATTAATTTCACAAGTTGCACAAGAGATTTGGTTATGTAAAGATCGTACGGTGACGCCATGGAAAGGATCTATTGAAGATTATAAGAAGTATCTTGCCAAAAGTGTTCTTAAACTTTAATAATTAAAACATATAAATAAAAATTATTTATAATAATAAATAGATTACGTTATTTAGAAATTATTATATTTTACAATGTATAAACAATTTTTTTAAATTGAAAAAAAAAGTATACGTTTAAAATATTAATTTAATAATAATAATAATAAAAAAAGAACGCCGAAAATTTTGCCTTCCCACAAATAAATAATAAGTAAATATCTCGTTAACCCACAAACACTATATTGGTATTTACAGGTGAGAAAAAATTACATAAAATAAATAAATAACTAGACTATATATATTAAGGGATGACGCAATTATGATCTCACCGTTAATAAATTAATATATATAAATACATCAAATATTCATTCCTATTAAGATAATTACTATTTTAAAATGTTTACTGCAAAGAGCAATGACAAATTACCACCGACTCATGATATTGAACGTGCAACGCGAGAACAAGAAGCTTTTCGATCTAAAGAAAAGATTGTAGAAGTTACTGGGGCACTTGGGTGGATATAATTATTGAGATTGATTATTAAAATCAATTATCTCGATAAACAATCAATTAACGTGGTTCATTTATTATTAATGTAGTGAAGGAAAATTACCTACAACTTCACAAATAAGCACTGCAATTGATGAAATTCATCAATCAGAAATACTACACGACGCAGCACGTGGTATGTCAGTGTTGGGTAAAAAAATATCGGCAGATTTGGAAAATTTTTTAGAAGCTTTGAAAATATTCTTGAAAGAAAAAAATCGCGGGGATGAAATACAAAATTTAGTTTATAATAGTAGTCGAGCAATTAATGGTACGCGCACACATATATTTCGTATATACATTGATTATTTATTTCGCGTGCGTTTTTGTTTATTTTCGGAATTTTTATATATAGTTAATACAAGTTTTTTTTTCCAACTATTGTTAATATAGATAATTTACCATCCGGTGAAGAGATTAAACAGGAAATAAGTGATATAGCAACTACTAGTAAACCTTTACTTAGCGAAGGAGTAGAAAAGACGTTAAATATATCACGATTGTTAATTTCAAGTTCAGAATTTCGTAAATTGGTTAATGATATTAGCACAATCGCTCAAGACATAATAGCCTATGCAGTAAATGAAGAACCAAATCAAAATAATGATAATTATGATAAAGAGAAAGGAATTGATGAAGCGATTACTGAAATAGGTCAAAAAGCACGTGAACAAGTATACCCTACTGTAAAAACAACAGCTAAAATAACTGAACCTTACATTAAGGACGCTAGTGAAGGAAAAACCAGTGTACAGGATTCTGCCAAAGAAGGATTAATGGCGATAACCTCAAATGTCAAATCTGTTATTTCCGGTTATCAACTTTCACCGAAAGCACGTGAACAGTTAATTACACGCTTCAAAAATGTGATGATCGAGTTGCAATACAAACCAGAATATCAACAGGCCATCCATGATTTAATAAATATAGTTTCTCAAATTACCGAGAAATCAAGTGAATTTGCCACTCATGTCGTTCAACCTATTATTGATGCCGCCACTGCTAGCAGCAGCACTTCCAGTAGCGATGACGAAACTCATCATCAACATCAACCAAGTCGATCAAGATCGTCAACACTAACACCGTCATCAATTGAAGTGGCAGAACAAAATGCAAAGGAACTTATAGAAAGATTTGCAAATAATCGATCATTAGACCCATTAATTTCAGAAATACATGAATTTGGACAAAAAATGGAAAACGATGATGATTTGCGCGAGTTTCTTAAAGAGCTTAAACAATTTGTTCTTTCCTCATTACTTGAAGCAAAATTTATTAAGAATCCTAATTATGTTCGACAAGGATTCGAGTTGATTGAAAGAGGACAAAGAATTTTATTAGATCATTATGGTGAATTGACTCGAAAAATCATTAATGAAGTTCTGGAATTTAACAAAGCGATGCTGGAGGATAAAAAGACATTGAAATTAAAAAATGATATCAATATCTTGATTGAAGATTTTTTCTTGAATGAGTTGGGTCATTTCACAATTAAATTTCAATTGATCAAAGATTTCTCAATTGTTTTACCTCGTCTTGCTAAAAAATTGGAATACATTCCTTTACCAAGATATGAATGGTAAGTTTTTTTCTTATTTTTTTTGGAAGAGATATTTTTTTTTATTAATAAGAAATTTAATTATTATTATTATTATTATTATTATTATTTTGAATATCGATTAGTTTTGATGAAAATGTAGAATTTATTGCTGGTAATATCATT